TTTTTTAGATAGATTTTTGTAACAGAATACGCTATAAATTATTGACTTATTGCCATTGATCGTGACACTCGGCTTACATCGCTATTAATAAAGAGTCGAACGGCTCGGGATACACAGCTCTGAGGTAAAAGCGATGCAGGGTACCGCGTTGAATCAGACGGAAGTGCACGTCAGCTAATCGAAACCGCATCACGCGAGACGAGGTGAGACGAAAAATTCCTGCCTATTCGAAGCAGGAATTAAATTATAATCAATTCTTCCGTCGAAAAGATACACAGGCCGTTCGCTCACTTCTTTCTACGCGAATTGCGACATGTTTCGTTGCGAGTTCGCTTTTATCAAGAGATAAAGCGACGGGTGATACTCAAACGAAGCGATTTCGCAGCATTAACGAAACCACCTCGTCGATGAAATAGGATACGACGATAAGAAAAAAAAAAAAAAAAAAAAAATAAGCATACACAACCTTATTACCTCATTCATTACGGTTAAAGATTTAATATGATAATGAAAAGTGAAACGAGAGAAAGGATAAAAATCAACTAATCTTTAAAAAAAAAAAAAGAAGTCTACCTAATATTAAAGTTATAATAATATACAGAGAAGTTAAGTAACGATTACACAATTACGTTATACATGTTACTACAACTATTATTATTACTACTACTATTACTACTATTACTACTACCACTACTACTACCACTACTACTACTACTATTACTACTACTATTACTACTATTACTATTACTATTACTACTACTACTACTACTACCACTACTACTGCTATTAACTACTACTTCTACTACGTATTCTATACAGGAAAGCGATTTTTTTTAAAGGAAAGAAAATAATTACTCTAGGTACAGTTTTTTTTATACCACAACGCAGAGAGACATTAATTAACGAGACTTAATTATTGAAAAAAAAAAAAAAAATGTGAACGAAACGTGACACGTTCTATAGTTAGACATAAGCCGGCAAGTTTTCATGGCAGACGCCCTCATCCCCGGCCCCTCTCGTGCCTGTAATACCAAAGAAGCGATTATGAGTTTTTGCGTATTAGTGAAGTGAAAATGCGTGACACACACACACACATATGGTCGTGTCGAACGCTCAACTCGCCTCAAGTTCCTTGCAAGAGCCAAGAAGAGCGAGAGGGGTCAACAGACTCGACAGAGACAGAGATTCGCGTCTGCGGGGAATCGACGAGTGGTTATTGACGGCAATTGGAAGGACACTGACGAAAAGTGGCATCCTTCGTCATCGAGTCGCTTTTTTCAAAAGTGATTGGAAAGAAGAATCGTAATCGAATCAAAGATGTTTCGAGGGAAAAACATAAACGAGGAGGGAAGAGAGAGAACGAATGAACGGAGAGAAAAAAAAATTATACGTTTGATTGTTGTGAAACGTGAAACGAACGCTACGTTTCGTGCTACTACGAGAAGGATGTTCCACACAAAGGAGGGGAAAAAAAAAAAAAAAAAAACGAAGAAGAGAGAGAATGAAAAAGCGACCGTACGAAAAAGCGAGAAAAAACCGCGAGGGAACAGAGAAGAAGTTTTTAAGATGAAGAAAGAGAGAGAGAGAAAAAAAAAAGAGAGCCACAAAACTTTTTCAGGGATTTTTACTTTACCATGAGTGTAATAATGTGTGAGTGTGCGTGTGTTGAATAATACTATTAATTGATAAGTAATTACTGATTAGGCATATATGGCAAAAGAGGCGCCAGATAAGGTTATAGAAATTCGGAATAATTCGAGAGGAAAATAACGTATATATGGAAAAGAAAGACAGAAAAAAAGTGCTGGGGGTGGAAGAGTGATATTTGACGAGAAAAAGGCATCGTTTATCAAACTCAAATCGCTCTTCGCCTTGTTTGTGCGAGCGTGGATATTGTCCAGCGAGTATTTATCGATACGAGGGCATGCTGATTTTATGAAACTCTATCGACGATCTTTCCAAATTTTGTCATTTTTCTTCGTTTCTCTATTTGTTGCTCTAATATACTATACAGTATAGTATATACATGCTACGTACTACTGGTTAAGAAAAAAATTTTTTTTTTTTTTTTTTTTTTTAAGAAAAGTAGAGAAACGAATAAAAATTACAGAATTTTTACAGAAAGATCGTCGATAGACTTTCATCGAATTCACATACGTCGTTTACATAACTGCGATATCCAGATACACAGATACGCGTTCACGCGTAACGTTATTACTTTGTTCGCAGAAACTCGCAGCGATATCGCGTTTCTTGCACGGCGCGTACTATCGATCACGATAATTCTGATCATTTTTTTTTTTTTTTTTTTTTTGCGAAAGGAGATGAATATTTTGGGTATTTTGGCTGAGAAAAAAAATTTTTTTTTTTTTTTAGTAGAAGAAATTCAAATTTTTAATATTTTTAACGTTGGGGAAGCAAGAGAAAGAGAGAGAGAGAGAGAGAAAAAATACCTCGAGAGCAAAGAATATTCGTGACCGATTGCGCGTGAATCGTAATC